CTGGTGAGTGGTTAAAGAAAAACAACTGATATTTTGTGTACGGATATACTACGGTTTTACCTATCTTTTGGTGCCTTATGAAATTTTTTAGCTTTTATAGGGAACGTCCTGTGGAGGATGCAGTAAAAAGTTTTAATGGAAGCCTATGGTAAATGATACATAATTTTAAAGGCCATTTTTTTCTGAGTAAGGAGCCACAAGTTTCATCTCAAAAGGACCACCCTAGCAAAAATGGCGACTGTTTGAAATTTAAAAAAACCCACTTATAGGGAACGTCCTGTGGAGGATGCAGTAAAAAGTTTTAACGGAAGCCTATGGTAAATGATACATCGTTTTAAAGGCCATTTTTTTCTGAGTAAGGAGCCACAAGTTTCATCTCAAAAGGACCACCCTAGTAAAAATGGCGACTGTTTGAAGTTTTTGAAAATAATTGAAAGATGTTGCTATAATTAAATAACAATGTTTTACAATTTAACTTACAATTACCTATAAGTGGTAAAAAATTTCATAAGGCACCAAAAGATAGGTAAAACCATAGTATATCCGTACACAAAATATCAGTTGTTTTTCTTTAACCACTCACCAGATATAATGTTGGTTCCAGACATTTTCAACACCCTGTATATATAGATAGATTTAAAATTGTCTATCAAATAACACTAAGTTCAAAAAATCTAATAATAATTGTTACGGTTTTTAGTTGTACAGGCCAGGCAAAATAAGGCCTAGTGGTTAAGGGTAGTTATTTTGTTGCAAACATCGTGATTTTTCAAATATTTATCATATGATCGCAGAATATAGTCTAATGGCTAATAGTAACTTATTCGCAGATTTTTAGTATCTTGGATGAAAATTTGAAAACAATAAGCACTGCGTGTTTTATTGTGATAAAAATGATTATTTGTTATTGACACAATGACAATTTTAAATGTTAACTCAGGATGGATACCCATGTGAAAGTGTAACACTGTTAACGAACTATACCTTGGTAAGAGAATTTTCAAACCGCAATATCAATATTTTGGGATATACTAAAATAAAACATAATTAAATTACGTGTATCCTTTCCCTTCATTTTTGTGTTTTGCATGGTTAGTATTTAACGGTCGAATCTTGAAATTTCGTTAATCATAACCATAATCATAATTTATTAATCATCATTTCGTTACCGTCATTCGGGTTGTTTATGTGTTTTTGAAAAAGATATTTTAGAGGTTTTAAACGTACGCTTAAAAAATAACTTTCAATGCTCCATAAAGACGCGTTTACTTGAGGTTAACCAGAGTGGTGGAATATTTCAGAGTTCAATAATTGACTTAAAGCAATCAGGTTGTGTGGTTAGGTCTACCACCACCGTGAGTAGTTATAAATTCGGGGTGGGGATATATGATCGGGGAAAACAATAAATAGATTAAACAGTTTAGTTAAAAATGTGCGTTAACAATTTAAGCATCCAGGGATATTATTTTTTTAGTTTTACAGTTTTAAACTTATTTTACAGTTTTAACTACAGCAATAAATTTAAATTTGGTAACAGCATTGACTATTGGATACAGAAGTTGTTGTATTAATAGTTAAAGGTAACATGGTATTTTCAATGTGGTTTGTAAAGTATGTAAACCACCGACATACGTTAAAAGTGTTTTTCAAAAGTTTCATTTTTCAATGGATATGTGTATTTTATTAGTATACTTATTGTATTTTTTCCAATTCCTTGTTTAGATATTAAAGAAAAACCATTTTTTATTCAATTTTTTTTCTAGGATAAGAACAACTATCACCACTTAGTCAAAGAATAGTGTAATTGTTGCATTTTTCCTATTCTTGGTTTGGATATTAAATACAAACCATTTTTTTCAAATTTGTTTTCCAGGAGAAGAACAACTATCACCACTTAGTCAAAGAATTTAAAGTGAACTAACAAAATAATCTTTTTATATATATTTGGCAAATATAATCCCAACAAAAATGTACAGAAGAAAATATGTCCTAAATCTATATTTAAATGAAGAATTTAAATGCAAAGTTAGCTCACCATGAATTTATATTTTAACTGTTTAGAGGTGTTAATTTTAGCAAGAATCTTTCTTCAACTTCTTACTGAGTTGATGGAAAACTTTGCACTTTACTAAGTGCCCCAAGTCATTAATAGTTTGTATTCCTAAGTGGACGTAATTATTTTTGTTGCACTACCTACATAAAAATGCACATATGTATAGTATCACACCGGTAAATAACTTTTTATAGCAATGTTGCTTTATATTTCTGTACTATTCATATGCGTAGTATAAAGTTTTTGCAGTTTCAGTTGCTATACTCATTGATCAAACTAGAAAAAAAACTTAAACTGGTATAAGTCTGAAGAACTCAAAAAACGTAAATTAATTTAACTCATTTTGATTTAACTACATTGATTTAACTCATCAGCTTGCAAATGATTGTTTATTTATATTTTGAAGTACACCTCTTCTGTTCGTTTTGTAATTATAGGTACTACAAGCCAGTCATCGGTCTCAGATATGAGAGTTGGCTCTCGGCTTTTTAAATAATAATTGGTTTAATTTTTTACAATTTAAATAGAAATAGAAATCTAGATAAGCAGCGAAGAGGTAGCTGATAAGAGGTCTGCTTCTAGATAGCAACTGAAGATCTTTTCTTTTAAGACTCGTGTACAGAGTCTCGATTTGTATAAAGCAATGGTTTTACTTATCTCTGTGGTCTAATTATATCTACTAATCTTACTTATTTCCTACAATCAATGACAAAGTCAGAGTAAATAAAATAACCTAATAGTTCCATAGAATATTTTTATATTCAACCAGCTGTTAGTTAAAACAAATTATATTGCACTAAAACAAATCAAAGATTGCTTCACAACAAAATAATTTGAACATCCTAGTATTTTACTATGTATATTTACTTAATCTGTCCTCTTACCGAAGAATTTAACGTATCATTGATCAGCATTGCACATAGTATAATAATTCAACCCTTAGTGTGTCTTTTCATTTTAATCCAAATGCTGAATTTGTGTCACAAACGCTGAATGTTTACAGCTGTTATGTTAAGCAAATTATATCATACCAAAAGCTAGTTTAGAATGTTAGCGTCGGCTGCTAGACTTTTTAAAAATTAAAACTTAATTTCTAAAAAAACTGGGACCCTAAGCTAAAATTATGGCTTCGACATTCCCTAGTTCTCAAAATTATCTTTCTTTCAACACAAAAATCATGAAAATCCGTCAAGTGGTTGATTCATAATCGTGAAATAAAAAAACCCTTTTACGTTTTAATATTAAAGATGTGTGCTAAGTCTTGGAACACTTATTATTTCTAAAATTTCCCCATCTTTTAGATCTTCGCCTATGCTATATATATAGGTAACGAATAACTAAATAGAATATTATTTTGTTAAAAAACTCATAATTCACTATCACTACTTCAACTCGGCATCAGTCAAGAAGCAACTGAACGATTGTATAGTAATCACACCAGTGACAATGCCTACTGCAACGATTATTATTGAGCGATAATCGTCCAACGATGATCGTCCGACGACTGCAGTTCCAGCCGCACCAGTGACAATGCACCTCATATATACTCATATAACTCATATATAGGCACAATTTTTCATCCCCCCCCCCATCCACTATCATCACTGCGGCGGTACAGCTGGGGCGTTCACACCGGAGTGATTCCGCACCGCAGCGATGACATCTGAGTACAGTAATTTTCCGTCCTCCCTCATTCATGAGTGAGCAGTCAACAAGTTCAGTGTGTTGTTAGATAGAAATATGTTTACATCGAAATATGTAGACAAGGAAGAAATTTTGCTATTGTTTGCTGTAACTGAAGACAACGATCGCAGAAATAGGGAGTTGACAAGACCAAAAGGCGATTTGAGCATGGCGAAGACCATCAATTGATGCCTAAACTTATAAAAGACAAATGCCAGGCTCGTCACACCGGCACCGCTGGGCGGTGAAATGGAACACCCTGCATCTCAGCAGAGCGGTGGTACAGACGGTATATCGCTACCGCTCCATTGTGGCGGCTTGCATTTACTAAATAAAAAAACAAAATTTTTGTATGTACTAAATCACTGTGCGAATATTGCACCACTAACGCTCCGCCGCACCACTCCGGTGTGTATACACCTTAAATGTTAAAATTAATCTGGCTTCAAATGGAAATTCGCTAGGTCTGCAGATTTGCTGCGTGGGGGATTTTATTTTTTAAATGTCCAAATTCATGTGGTTCAATCTTTTCATGTGGTTTTGTGGGGTGGTGAATATGGATTTTTTGCATATTTATCATGAAAATATCCAACATAATTTAGATATTTTCAGTTCTACATATTCTTTGAGTTATCAAGATCCCTTTTCTTTAGTTTGCGGACGATGTAAAACTGTTTGTGGAAAGTTGTTTCCCTCCATGACGTTGAGTCCTTGCTCAAGGCTCAAAATTATTTCTCAGCTAAGACTTATAAGACATTTAAGTCGATGGTGAATCCCAATAAGTTGAAAATTTTAACACAAAACAAAATTCTCTGGATATTGAATATTTCCTTGATTCTTATTAACTCGTCATATGAGTTTGGGCCAGACATTAACCACATTTGCGTCAATACCTCTGGCATTCTCAAAATGATCTGCTCTGCAAGACACTGATCGAGCATCCATGCTGATCCATGCCTGCTAGATCCAGTATAATTTCTATGTGTGGCAACAACTAGGGTAGAATGTATTCTGTGCTGTATGTATGTATTCTGGTTGCCCTTACTGTCTTCGTTTAGTCCCAATACGGGAAGAATGAGCGTACACCTAAAATGTGTTCCTTCTGCCACATATTTATACCTCACTCTAGTTTATTTAAAACGTTTGTAAATACTAGTATACTGCACATTATACAATATAAAATAATATTTATAGCAAGTAATTATAGTCTCAATAACGTGAAAGGTATTCTCCATTCATAAGTCAGGAAAACAAACGCTGTGCATGAAATTATACATATTTATATTTATTTCATCATTTAGAATACATGACACTTGTACAAATAAATGTACCTGTACTCGTTGCATTTTCGTGGTCATTCACTCCTTCGTTGTTGCTGTGTTTTCTGTTTGCTGAGATGTGTCCTGAGCGTTTTTGCTTCCTTCACCTGCAGGGGGCTGAGCTGCGCCTGTTTCTGACGTAGGCGTACTGCGCTCTGTGTTTTCCTGAGAGTTGGCAGAAGACTGTGGAAACGTTGTTTCTATAAATTCCTTGCAAGATGGATCCACACCTTCTGAATCTTGAGATCTACCGTTGGGAAAACAAGCAAAGTTAAATGTTAGATCTATGTAAAATACCTTAGGAAAAAAATATTTTCACCTACAAGAGAGAGATAAAGGTTTGTGTACTTATTAAACAGACGGTTTAATTTAAAGTATATTATAAAATCCGTGCTCTAAAAGGATTGAAGAATTAAAAAACTACTATAACCACTTTATACTGGCTACCAACGATTGACAAAGCACACATTCGAAATGTAGCTGGAACTTATATACTTATAGAAATAGGTATTATTGTTGTATCGTTATCGTACATGTAATATGTATTTAACCGTAGACGTGTGCGGATGAAGACACTTAGTATTTTAATTGATTAACAACAAATATTTATAGATTTAGTTAACCCGTAAAAATCTAAAATCTTTATGTTAGTACACAAGTATATATTCACAAACCCAATTGTATACAAAACTTATTAAAACTGCTTCTCAATACTTCAAATTTTCATTTGAATATCAGACTTATTTGAATAAAGTGTACAATTCAGAATTTTAAATTGCTTAATAAAGTGAGTATGCCTTAGAAACCTAATTGTTTTGTGGGTCCTAACTGAACAATAATTGTTATACCATAATCATGTAAGTAGGCTACCCAGCGCTTGGGCCCGCCAATCAGAGAGCAGCATTTCATCCCCACCCCTCCGTAGGCCACGCCCCCTAGCCAATCAGAGAGCAGCATTTCATCCCCACCCCTCTGTAGGCCACGCCCCCTAGCCAATCAGAGAGCAGCATTCCACCTAGGCCACGCCCCCTAGCCAATCAGAGATCAGCATTCCCAAGCCAATCAGAGAGCAGTATTTCCCTTAAGCCATGTTCCCTGGTGTCCCACGTGGTCTATCCTCACACGTGTTCTAACCTCATTTTTATTTTCCCGCCAAATAACGTAACCTCATCTCCCAAAGCAAATATTGTAAATGTGATTGGTAAGGATTGAACCTGTGAACCTCTTAGATCAACGACTAACACTACTCCCGCTATGATACATCACCATAACAAAAATCAACATTTCACCCCGACCAGAAATAAAACGTTTGGTGATTGGTAAGGATCGAACCCGTGAACCTCTGGCTCATACATAGTCTCATACACAGTCAGCTACTAGAAAGAAACATTATTCAGATTACCCATCACCCCAAAAATACATGGCATCTATTAAATGTAAATTTAACATCCAACATTTTGGTGGCCTTTACAAAGGCCGTTTTTTATGCTCAATGGTTAAGTTACGTTTAAGCCTTCTTTCAGTTGTTTTTAACATTGGATACGTGAATTATCATTTGTTTTGTCATTGTAATGGACTGCAGTATATTATAGGTGTATGTAAATAAGACTCAGCAAAGATTGTAATTGTGATTGGTAAGGATCGAACCCGTGAACCTCTGGCTCACACACAGTCTCATACACAGTCAGCTACTAGAAAGAAACATTATTCAGATTACCCATCACCCAAAAAAATAAATAAATAAAACATGACTTCTATGAAATGTAAATTTAACATCCAACATTTTGGTGGCCTTTACAAAGGCCATTTTTATGCTCAATGGTAAAGTTCCGTTTAAGCCTTCTTTCAGTTGTTTTTAACATTGGATACGTGAATTATCATTTGTACTGTCATTGTTATGGACTGCAGTATATTATAGGTATTTGTAAATAAGACGCAACAAATATTGTAATTGTGATTGGTAAGGATCGAACCCATGAACCTCTGGCGCATATACAGCTTCATACACAGCCAACTGCTAGGAATCAACATTATTCAGATTACAATCATCCTAACAATACATAACATCTATGAAATGTTGATTTAACGTTCAAAATTTGGTAGCCTTTACAAAGGCCGTTTTTTATTCTCAACGGTAAAGTTCCGCTTAAGCGTTCTTTCAGCTGTTTTTAACATTGGATACGTGAATTATCATTTGATTTGCTTTTGTAATGGACTACAGCATGTAGATATATATAAAATAAAATAAAAATTGAATGTTTTTTCTTAGATAATTAAACACATTGCCTAGTATATAATGGTTTTAATAGTATGGTTTAGTAATATATATCTACGATTTAAATTTACATTTCTCTATCTAAAAATTAATAATGTCTAAGAAGAAATGGTGGTCATTTGTAAAGTTTTGTTTAATGGCTATTACTAATATCTTTTATTTACATTAATCTAAACAGTGTTTGCAAACATTATATTTCTACAAATTTTCTTCTTCTTCTTCTTCATCATCATCACGGTTCTGTAACAAAACAAGGAAATGCTAATGGCGTGTATCCTGGTTGCTGATTGGTTGTAATAAGCTTGTACCTGATTGGTCATAAATAGGTGATCTGTTGTGTGATTGGTCAATTTTTGCTATTTATACTTTCCATTACTAATTTTCTTTCACTTTGCTTTCGGCAATTGAACGTGTTGGATGTGTGCTCTTGTGTTTGACGTTTTGAGGTTATGTTTGCAAGTTATTTCTAGTGTTAATGTTAGTCTGATTATTTATTGTGTAGTGGATCAGTTTTATAGTAAGTGAACATTGTTTCTTTTGTGTAACGTGTTGTGCAATCGGTGTGTTATATTAAGCTTTGTGTGCACGCAGCTGTGCCCACACCACATCTTGTGTCCCTGTGTTGTATTGTGCAATCCGTGTGCTATACTTAGCTGTGTGCGCGCGCAGACTGTGCCCCCACTAGAACTAGTGTATCTGTGTCCCTTTCACTTTGCTCTAGGCATCTGACTACGATGGATGATAGTATGGCTGATAATGTATCCGATGAAGTAGTTGAACCCGCTAAAGTAGTTGAGCCTGTTACTTTGATTAGTACTGATCAAACTTATGTAAATAAATTTAGATTGTATGGAAGTAAAACAGTATTTAAATTCACTAATCCGCCTCCAGAGACTAACGAGATTGATTGGTTGAGACAAGGGTTTGCGCAAATTGTAAATAGTATGAAAGAGCAAGCATTTGAAAACGATCAACTTGGGTTTACTCTACAAAGTCTTAACTTGAAATCAAAAGCACCAGGCTATGTAAATTTTCGCCCTGCTAGTGAAATTGATGAAAATGTTTTGTGGCAAATCTTTGGTGGTATTGTGCAATCAAACTCTGAAACTATAAAATCTACTGACACCTTTAAAGTGGAATGCACTAGAATTAACCTTCCTGTAGGTTCTGGGAGAGTAAGGCCTGGGTTTTACAATACGTTTGATGAGGAATGCAAGTCAAGGCGGGGAATTGTTGTCATTAACAATAAAGATAAATTGTGTTTGCCTCGTGCAATTGTAGTGGCTGTTGCTAATCTAACTAAAGATCCTGAATATAAAGCTGTGAGGCAAGATAAGGCAAATAGGCAAACAGTTAGGGCCCAGGAACTTGTTCGTCGAGCTAGGGTTGAAATGCCAGAGGGTGGAGGTGGGATCCCGGAACTTGAAAAATTTCAGGTGTTTTTGAGGGACTACAAAATTGTTGTGTACAACTATGACAGGAAAGGACGTGATGTGTACTTTGAAGGAAATGTAGAGAACCCCAAGTTCAAAATTAACTTGTTGTTTCACAATGGACACTACAATGTAATTAATTGTTTGACTGCTGCTTTTGTTTGCAATTATTTCTGTGAAGTTTGTCATGTACCCTACGATCATAAAAGGGAGCATCGTTGCTCAAATATTTGCCCACAGTGCCAGACCATCTCACCCCCTTGTGTAGCGGAGAGTGGTGGTATTTTATGTAATAAATGTAACATGACCTATCGAAACCAGGAATGTTTTATCGCGCATCAAGCTGACAGATGTAAAAATGTAAAAAAATGTCTCGATTGTGGAAAATTGGTTTGGATTAGAGATCGCCCCAAGCCTCACAAGTGCGGTGAAGTATATTGTAAGCCTTGCAGTTCATTTGAAGACCCTAACCACAAATGCTATATGAAACCTGACACGAAAAAGCCAAAATCAAAAGATTTTCTGTTTATTTTCTTTGACTTGGAAACACGCCAAGACGAGTCCCTGCCCTCAGATCCCGATTCTAAATTGCATCAAGTGAACTTGTGTGTCTCACAACAGTTTTGCTATCAGTGTATTGAGGCAAAATTTTGTATGGCTTGTAAAAATCGTACGCGAGTGTTTAATTCTGAACCAGTAACTCAGTTCATGGACTATGTGATGCAAGTCCGTAAAAATTTCAAAGATGTTTGTGTCATTGCACACAATGGGCAGGGCTTTGATTTTCAATTTTTGCTCAAGTATGTTTTGGAGGATACAAAGTTCACTCCGAAACTTGTAATGCGGGGAACTAAGGTCATTTTGATGGAGATTGACAATGTGAGGTTTGTTGATTCATTAAGTTATTTCCCTATGCCTCTAGCTTCACTGCCCAAGGCCTTTGATTTGCCCCCGGAAAAGAAGAAAGGCTATTTCCCCCACCTCTTCAACACACTTGAGAATCAGAATTATGTTGGCCCTATGCCGGCAAAGGAATTTTACTGTCCAGAATCTATGTTTGAAAAATCACATGAAGATTTTGAAAATTGGTATAATGATCAGGTTGCAAACCATGTTACATTTGACTTTAAAAAGGAAATCCTCGAGTATTGTTTGTCGGATGTTGATATCTTGGCCCAAGCTTGCTTAAAGTTCCGTTCAATTTTCCTGCAAGAGTGTAATGTTGACCCGTTTCTCGAGGCTGTTACCATTGCCAGTGCATGTAACTTAGCTTTTCGCAGGAACTTTTTGAAAAAAAATACTATTGGCATAGTTCCTAAAAATGGTTATAGGCTTACAGACGCTCAGTCGGCAATTGCGTTACAGTGGCTATCGTGGGAAGAGGAGAAACGTGGAGTTAGAATTGAACACGCTGCTCGTGGAAAAGAAGTTAAGATCAATGGAATGAAAGTTGATGGGTATGATGGCCAACATATTTATGAATTTCAAGGCTGCTATTGGCACGGATGCCCCAAATGCTTCCCCTATGACCGTGAACTT